CATCATCAGCCAGGTCCTCGTTTAGATCAAACAGGAGAAGGCCTGTGTCATCCTGATCACCATTGATTTGGCCTTGCCAGTGTTGATTCAGGATGCTTGGTGATATACACCCCTGACTCCTCCCTGGCCATCTGGACCTGTTGTCAAAGACCAACCTTCCACAAGGCTAACCTACAAAGCAAAGTGGGCTTAGTTCTCCCAGTGGGCAGCGGAGTGAGGTGTCTCTGGAACACGCTCCAGTGCAATCGGTTCTTGCCTGCCTCTCATAACTCTGGGGCCAAAGTCTGGCGCTCTCCTCCATTCAAGTGCATCTGGTGGCCATCTGCACTTTCAATGGGCAGGATTAAGGGCAGATAGTGTTCCAGCATGACATGATGGTATGGTTCCTATGGAGTCTTAATTGACCCCATCTGCAGTAGGATTTTAATTAGTGTTCTCTCAGCTCACAGGACCACCCTTTGGAATCTTTTGCCTCCCGTTCTTGCTCACAGTGACTTCGGCAATATGCCTTTTTGAAATCCGGGCCTTAACTTCAGAGCCTCTGTACACTGTTTTCTTCAAAGACAAAACCCATTTGTGGCCCCGTGCGGACTTCTTAATGAAGGTTCCTTCTTCCAGGTGAACCAGGATATTTTCTTACCTATGTTCTTCCCCAGACCTCACAAGACAAAGGCAGAGAGGTGGCTGGACACCCTTGCGGTACGAAGCCTTTCCACAAGTCATCCCAGCTTTTGTCGCTGTAGCTGACAGGATGAAGGGCATGCTGGTGTCCACATAGCAGCTGCCCAAGTGGATTATCTCGTGTTTGGACCTGCTATGACATCGCAAAGGTTCCCCTGCCACGGATTTTTCAGGTGTATCTAACTAAGGCCCAGGCAGGAGCAGTTTACCTGGAAATGCCAATTCAGGACATCCTCAGTCCACACATTCACAGCCCACTACATCCTCACACAGCAGGTTAAAGATTACATTGGGTTCGGTAGGTCTGTGTCGCAATCAATCCAGCCACGTACTTCTACCATGGGTACTGCTTGGAGTCACCTAAAGTGGAATGGACATGAGCAATCGCTCAAAGAGGAAAATATGTTTACCTTTTTTTAAAGTGGTGTTTTCAAGATGTGCTGCTCATGTCCATTGCATGACTTCTCTCTTTCCCCACTGTCAGAGTTTCCAGCAAGAAGGAAATGTGTTTGGAGGGAAATGTGCAGCTTCCTTTATATTGTGCTCCAGGGGTCGCCAGAGCCATTCCTGTATGGATGTTGCTAGGGGAAATCTTCAGACACTGGTGTATATGGCAAACACGTACACCTAAAGGGGAATGGGCATGAGCAACGAATCTTAAAGAACACTGGTTATAAAATAGGGAGCTGTCTTTTTCTAAGATAACACAAGCTGTCATTGTATTACATTGTTTTTTAGATGGAGACATGCAGTGTCGTGCAAATATCTTGATAACAGAGTTATTTGACACAGAGCTGATAGGAGAAGGAGCTTTACCATCCTATGAACATGCCCACAAATATCTTGTGCAGGTAAGAAAATGGTAGTAGATAGTGCCGAATTCATCCTGAGTGTTAAGCCTTTGTCTTCTGTGGCAGTGCATGAGGATTGAACTTGGCCTGGTTTGTTAAGTTATTTAACCAGTCAGCTGTATTCTAACTAAGTAAATAATTTGTCAGAAACATTTGTCATTTATTTTGAGCTTTTATTTTTCTGTCATATACTGAATGCAATTGTAAGTTGTATATTGATGATTATAGCTTAGTAGCTAATTGCCTTCAAAGGTTAAGGTAGATCTGATATCTTCAGTATGAGAATAAAGATTTGAATAAAGCTCAAGAGTGGCATCAATGTCTGTTGTTTTAGACACACAATGGCATCAGTAAGTAATTTACAAAAATTAGCTTGGTAAGCCATGCAGAAACCCTGGATGGTAGAAAGGTGCAAATTCGATGAGAAAACACACACAAAGCTGAAGGCCAAAACTCCAAAGGAAAGTTTTAGAAGACAACATTTAGAATTTAGGAAATCTTGGCTATCAACCCTGTGCTTAGTCCACCTTATCCCTTACGTTGCACTACGTTTTAAAATAAGTATTTCATTTTACTTTCCTGTTGGTAATTCAGCAATGTTGAATGCATTTACTCTTTGTTTTTAAATGCTTAGGAAGGATGTGAGGCAGTGCCTCACAGGGCAAGAGTATATGCCCAATTAGTGGAATCCAAAAGAATGTGGTCCTGGAACAAGCTTTTTCCTGTTCACGTCCAAGCAGAGGATGATGAGAAAATTATTGTCTTCCCTTCAGAAATAGACACCTGTCCTGGTGTTCCTTCTGTCTATGATATCCAACTAAACCAGGTGCCTCAGAGTGACTTCACTGTCCTCAGTGATGTTGTGACTATGTTCAGGTAAGGAATAGGGATGTTAAATTTAGATTAATTAACTAATCTTATAGTTGATGGGATTTCCATCAACTATTCGATCTATAAGAGCGCCTCTGCTTTTGAACTGTAGCAAGAGTCTTCCTCTTGCAACAGTTCAAAAGCAGAAGCTCTGCAGAGAGTGTGGGCCAGCAGAGCTCCCTGTGGCACCTCAGCCTTTGAAATGTACAAGAGCCTCTTGGGCTTCCCAAAAGCAGAATCAGAGCAGAAGTAGCGTGAGCTGCTTCCATCCTTACCAGTGCCATTTCTCGCTGTGCCTCTACCTCCTCTGCCTCCCGCAGAGACAGTGTTGGGGGGAAACGGCTTTTAAGATGGCTCCCCCCAGGACTGGATCCGGCTCCCCCCCCCTTTTGCTGCCTCTCTCTAATAGAGACAGCAAGGGGCGGAGGGAGAGGGGGCAACTAGTCACATCCCTAGTCAACTAGTCACTTACATCCCTAATAGTGAATAGTGGTAGGAGTAGTAAAAATAAATAAAAACTTTGCTGTGCCTTTCAAAAAAAATCTGATTATTCAGATGAAGTACCTTATGGCAAACGAAGTTTGGGGTGAGCAGACATTGAATATTTGAATAACACTTAGGTGTTGACAATCCATATTACTCTGTTGCGGAAATGTAATGTATGGTTTTGTTTCAGGATAGTGGTTTTTACGTCTTTCAAACTGTCTCAATTCCATTTGTATAATGTTACTAAACATGCTTTGCCCCACATTATACTTCCCTTCCTGCATTTCCTAAAACGCACATTTATAATGTTTTATAACAATGTGAATCAACATGCCTTTTAACATAATTGAGTACAACTGATGCTTCTCTGTGTAGTATGGATTTCAGTAAGGAAGTAAACAGCTCGTCAGCCTGTTACACAGTGAAGTTGCAGCCCATAAAATCTGGCATGGCACAAGTGATCCTTTCATGGTGGGATATTGATATGGACCCCTCTGGGACGATAAAATGTACTATGGCACCATACTGGGTACAACCTGCCTCTCATGATGTCCAGGTAAGGTATTGATATTTTTCAGTTACCCAGTTAATTACATGTATTTATTTAAAATAATGTTCTTTATATCACTGATATACATGTGGTGACTTGCTTTAGCAGGTGACTCTTGAAGTGTAACAATTTGAGTAGTGTTTGGTTTATTGCAAGATTATAATGACATGCATATTAAATAAATGTTAACCACAAAAAACTCTCCTAGTTTAAGACCACATTCAATTTTGTAATATAAAGTACTGAAATTCATCTTTCCTTTTAGCTGTGTATTTTAAGGATGTTAGTATTCATTGTTCCGCAGGGATTTTTAAAATGCAAATATTATCTGAAAAATCGTTGTCTTCTTTGAGTGATGTCCCCGAGGGTGCTACACTGTACATGTCAAGTCATCCCAGTGCCACAGATCAGAGTTTTCGTGAGTGGTGATCTGCCGGATCGCGCGTGCACAGCACTCGCTTTGTACCTTGTACCCTTTTGATGTTTCGCACGGTCCAGCTCCTGCCAGTTCCTTCTTTGCTGCCCGTGGTCACAGACGTAGCGAGCCTTCTCTCCTCAGGCAAACCCTGTCAGGAATAGAATACATAGTTAGAGTTTATAGTTAGTTACAGTTCTTATAGTTGTAGTTAAACTTTTTTTTTTTTTTTTGTGACAAACTATATTATTTTCTTCAATTAGTTTTACAGTTAGCTATGCCGGGCTGCCCTGGTTTTAAGAAGTGCGCCACATGCCATGACGCCATGCCTGCATCCGACAGTCATGCCAAGTGCATTGAGTGCCTCAGAAATGTGTCCATTGTGCCAAACTGATAGTCAGGGCACATAAAGACAGGGAGATGAGACTAAAAATGTTCCTGTTCGACAAGGTGCTTCAACTGCTGGAACATTGTCCCATTGTTTCCACTCCACTACCAATGATAGGAGTGGCCATGTTACTCGTCCTTTTTTAACCAGCGGCAGGATAACAATCCTAACAGAAACAGAACCTGGCCTCAGAGATAAAGACAGTCTTCCGGCTCGGCGGCTCAACCTCCACTGGCCAACAAGCAAATTTGAATGCTTGGTTGAGGGCCTACAAAACCTACTACAAATTTCAATGCCAAGATTGATTATGCAAACGTTCCAAGATGGGCTTAATCCATTCTACCACCAATGGACTTACATCCCCTCAGACAGATGGGTGCTCGACATTATTCTTTCTGGTTATACCATACCATGCCTTGCCAAACCTTCCACCTACCCTCCTACTGTGTCTTTAGGGACCCCTCTCACAATACCTTGCTACGACGAGAGATGCTTCGTCTTTTAGATCTAGGAGCTATAGAGCCAGTTCTACACGAGCAGAGTCAGGGGCTTCTATTCCTGCTATTTTCTAACTCAAAAAAAATTAGGAAGCTGGAGACTGATTTTTGGATCTGCGCAATCTGAACAGATTAATCAAAACGACAATTTTTGCATGGTCACTCTATCCACCATTATCTTGGCATTGCATCGAGGTGATTGGTTTTCAGCCCTCGACCTCCAGGATGCATACTTTCACATCCTGCTCACAGAAAATTCCTGAGATCTATGGTAGGCCACAATCACTACTAATACCGAGTACTACCCTTTGGTCTTTCCATGGCCCCTCGCGTTTTCTCCAAGGTACTTGCTGTAGTCACAGTGCACCTTCAGTCTATGGGAATAATCATTTTCCCTTATCTTGACAACTGCCTTCTCAAGGCATTGTTGCAGATGGAATCGGCACGTGTAACAGCGAGGAGCATACTGTGCTTTCAAAATCTAGGCCTCCACATAAATTGGGAAAAGTCTTCTGTTAACTCTTCCCAAAACATGCAGTTCATTGGAGCATGCCTACATTCTACAGCTGCTCGGGCCTGTCTATCTCTCAAAAGATTCCTTGCCATTCAGACTCTGGCCACAACGATCTACCTTGCCACTTGTACCGCAACCAGAGATTGCCTACAACTTCTTGGCCACATGGTGGCCACCGCATTTGTAGTACCACATTTGACTTCACATGCGTTGCCTACAAATTTGGTTTTCCAGAGCTTACAAACCTTAGAAACCCCCATGTCACTCTCGTTTACGGTACTGCATGAGATCAAAACATTGCTCCTTTGGTGGAAGAAATCAGCCAACTTTTGCATGGGCATCCCCTTCCTCCAGCCTTCCACCTTGTGCACAATTATAATCGATGCCTCCCTTACTGGAAGGAGTGCTCATTTCTGAGCTCAAACTGCCCAAGGCCTTTGGTCAACCCCAGAGATGTCCTTACACATTAATCTCCTAGAATTGCATGCCATACACAATGCTTGCAGGCGTTTCCTGCCTTCTGTCACCAACAAGCATGTCCATGTCCTCACAGACAACATTGCCTCTGTTTTCCATATCAACAGACAGGGAGGAGCCAGATCTTCTCCCCTTAGCACCTATGCCATAAAGCTGTGGAATTTCTATATCAGTCACAATATCCACCTCTCCGCAATTCACATACCAGGTGTCTCCAACGTGATGGCCGTTGCTCTCAGCAAGCATTTCCCTGAACATCATGAATGGGTACTCGACTCTTCGATAGCACACTCCCTTTTTCGCAGGTGGGGCTGACCATCAATAGATCTGTTTGCAATATTGGACAATACCAAATGCACTCAGTTCTGCTCGAGAGTGGGCATAGAGACAGGATCTCTCAGGGATGCCTTCCTCATCCAATGGGCTCACGACCTCACTTATGCCTTTCCCCCCCCATACCACTTCTGGAGACGGACAGCTCCACTGTTGGAAGACAACTGGCCCAGACAATCGTGGTATCCATTTCTGCTCAAGATGTCAATTCGCACACTCATCAATCTCCCTCTCCAACACAATCTGATCATTCTGGGGCAGACAGGGCAAACCTACCCAGATCTATACAAGCTACATCTAACAGCATAGCTCCTCCGTGGCTCTCCCATGGAAAACTAGCCTTTTTGGAACAGATCCAAGCAGTCCTCATTCACAGTCATAAGGACTCCTCCGACACCTCCTACACGTACAAATGGAAACGATTCTCAACATGGTGCACATCAAAGAGGCAGGACCCAATCTTGATACCCCTGTCCTTTATCCTTGCCGCATGCTCCCTGTTGCAACTTTCCATGAAGGTTGCATTCCTGGTTGCCGTCATGTCGATCCACTGCATGGGTTACATAGCAGTTCTCGTGGCTGAACCACCCTTCACAGTATTCCACAGTGATAGGGTTACCCTTCGTACACATCCAAAATACCTACCAAAGGTTCCGTCATCATTTCATATAAACAAAATGGTAAACCTACCCGTGTTCTTTCCAAAGCCTCACACAAACTCCTTTTGCATCTGCCATGCAAACCCTCGTTGAGAGTTGTCCTTTTACCTAGAACAGTGGTTCCCAAACTTTTCGGCATCACGCCCCCTTTTTGATTTTTGAAAAAACCCCACGCCCCCTCCCCAAAAAAATAGCAGCAAAACTTGAGGGGCAAAAAGAAAGACCTGAATGGGGCAGCAAAACTTGATGGGGAGGGAGGCTGGGTCACCTCACGCCCCCCCCTGGAATTTCTTCATACCCCCTCAGGGGGACACTCCCCCCAGCTTGGGAACCCATGATCTAGAAAGAACTAGACCCTTCAGACAATCTCCTTGCCTTCGCCGATTGAGTGAAGGGAAATCCCATATTGAAAAAGAGGTTGTCGAAATGGATTATGGACTGCATAAAAACTGCTTACATGCTTAAGGGCCTACAGCCACCATTATGCTTGACAGCTCATTCTACCATGGCTGTATCCATTTCCACAGCATACCTATGCAACATGCCACTAACGGACATTTGCAGGCAGCCACTTGGGCATCACAACTTACTTTTTGCTAAGCACTATGCACTTCCTAGGCGAGCAACACTGCAGTGGCTCAGCAGTACTTTCATCTGCTTCCTGTAACGTTCCGAAGCCCCAGCCACCACGGAGTAATACTGCTTGTTAATCACCAAGGATATGTCTACACTAGCCCCCTAGTTTGAACTAGGGAGGCTAATGTAGGCATTCAAAGTTGCAAATGAAGCCCAGGATTTAAATATCCCAGGCTTCATTTGCATCTTCCTGGGCGCCGGCATTTTTAAATGTCCCTTAGTCCGAACTCTGTGCCCGCAGCTAAGGGACATTTTAAAAATGGTGGCACCCGGGAAGATGCAAAAGAAGCCCGGGATATTTAAATCTCGGGCTTCATTTGCAACTTCGTCCTTGCCTTCGCCGATTGAGTGAAGGGAAATCCCATATTGAAAAAGAGGTTGTCGAAATGGATTATGGACTGCATAAAAACTGCTTACATGCTTAAGGGCCTACAGCCACCATTATGCTTGACAGCTCATTCTACCATGGCTGTATCCATTTCCACAGCATACCTATGCAACATGCCACTAACGGACATTTGCAGGCAGCCACTTGGGCATCACAACTTACTTTTTGCTAAGCACTATGCACTTCCTAGGCGAGCAACACTGCAGTGGCTCAGCAGTACTTTCATCTGCTTCCTGTAACGTTCCGAAGCCCCAGCCACCACGGAGTAATACTGCTTGTTAATCACCAAGGATATGTCTACACTAGCCCCCTAGTTTGAACTAGGGAGGCTAATGTAGGCATTCAAAGTTGCAAATGAAGCCCAGGATTTAAATATCCCAGGCTTCATTTGCATCTTCCTGGGCGCCGGCATTTTTAAATGTCCCTTAGTCCGAACTCTGTGCCCGCAGCTAAGGGACATTTTAAAAATGGTGGCACCCGGGAAGATGCAAAAGAAGCCCGGGATATTTAAATCTCGGGCTTCATTTGCAACTTCGAATGTCTACATTAGCCTCCCTAGTTCGAATTAGGGGGGTAGTGTAGACATACCCCAAGTGTGGAGCATCCATGGGGACCTCTTGAAGAAATAACGGTTACCTTGTGCAGTAACTGGAGTTCTTCAAGATGGTGTCCTCGTGGATGCTCCATGACCCACCTTCCTCCCCTCTGCTTCAGACCTAGGTCCTCCGGGGTAGAGAATAAACTGGAGGGTGTGTAGCCCAGCAAAGACTGCTGCAAAATCTCCGTTCCAGACGCCAGGACGGCATCAAAACCAAATGCGGAGCATCGACGGGGACACCATCTCGAACTCCAGTTACTGCACAAGGCAAGTAATCTTTGTTTCTTTTGTATAGTAGAAAACAATCTATGTGAACCACCTATCTCCAGAAATGGAGTACACTCCTCTTCTGGTGTGCTGGCAAAAATCTGGATCCAGACACAGCGCCATTACGTGAAATCTTGGACTCCATATTGTCTCTCAAGAATGCTGGTCTAGCTACATCTCTCAGCCATCACTGCCTTTCACCAGCGAGTAGAGGGATGATTAGTCTTAGCCCATCCCATCACAAAGAGATGCATAAAAGGTCTTTCTAATCTATACCCGCCATGCAGGCCGCCACCACCACCATCGTGCAAGTTAGAAATAGTGCTAGACATTCTTCCTCGCTCACCGTTTGAATCTCTGGCTACATGCCCACTGTCGATCATGAGGCTAAAGGTAGTTTTTCTACTGGCGATTACTTCTGTGTGCCAAGTGAGTGAGTTAGCAGCCTTGATGGAGACTCCACCTTATATCATCTTCAGCAGAGACAAGATAATACTACATCCCCATCCTTAATTCATTCCCAAGGTTTGTTCGGACTTCCACCTGAAGAAGCCCATCTTGCTCCCTTTGTTCTACCCTAAACCACGTTCCACAGCGAAGGATGCAACATCTCACTTACTGGACGTACAGAGAGCCCTTGCATTCTATAGACAGGATTAGGTTTTTCTGCAAATCGGATTGTTTGCTCATCTCTATAGCAGACAGCAATAAGGGATATCCGCTATCGTCACAGTGCATTTCCAAGCTTATGGTGTCATGCATCGCACAATGTTACCTTTTGAGGAATAAACCACTACCTCAAATACTTAAGAGCACACTCCACAAGAGCGATGGCAACTTCTATGGCTTTCCTCCACAGGGTTCCCATTAGGGATATTTGCAGAGTGGCTACATGGTCCACCAATGACACATTTATTAATCATTATGCAATTTTGCAGACTCAAACAAATGACACTATTGTTACCTACATGACCCTATCTACCGCTGTAAAGCCATAAATCCAAGGCCCACCTACCACTTATACTGAGTACTGCTACACATTCACCTACAGTGGAGCACCCAAGAGGACATCACTCGAAGAAGAAAAGGAAGTTACTCGCCTTTGTGCAGTAACAACGTTTTTTTGAGATGTGTCCCACCCTTGGGTGCTCCATTACTTGCCCTCCTCCCCATCTCGGATTTCCTTATATCTTCCAGATACTGGGGCAGACTTGAGGAACTGACGGGAGCCGGACCACGCAAGACATCAATAGGGTGTGAACGACATGGGGTGCATGCCATATATGCGTGGTCCAGCAGATCACTGCTCAAGAAAACTCCAACCTGTGGTGCCGGGACGACCTGACACCTACAGTTGGGGACACACATCTCGAAGAACTGTCCTTACTGCACCAAGGTGAGTAACTTCCTCTTTTCAGAAGATTTCCATAATAACAGACAATGCATCCAATCAGAAAGCATGTTGAAGTGCAGATAGGGTGTGTGTATTGCTGTGGCGGGATAATAGCTCTTTTGCACTTCATAAGCATTGTTTTATGGGTGTGGGGGGTACTTAAAGAATAGCAGTTAGCTATGAAGCAAGTTTATTGGCTGACAGCCATTCCATTTGACATAAAACATCTTCTGTGTAAGTATTTGCTTACTGTACTTGCAACCACCTGTACTGCACAGCACCACCTCTTTCTCAGTACTGTTGAAATAGAATAGTGTTTGCCACATTGATTCATTTGCTGGCTGGCAGCCTGGCTCTGCCTATGTTTACTGGGATAATTTCTGTTTGGATCGAACTGGAATATTTGTTATTGAATGACGATCACTTCTGATAATTAGTTACAAACAAATACCTGGGTCCTGTCTCTTCTTTCCAGTGGCGAGATCATTGGATGCAGTGTGTATATTTCCTTCCAAAGGAGGAACCAGTTCTTCAGGGTGAGAGTGTGTGCCTTTCTGCATATCGTGATGAATATTCCGTGTGGTATAAGCTCCAGAAGGCCAGGTAAATATAGGTATGAGAGGAGTAGATGATCAAAGTATGGCATGAAATCATGAGTATGTGCTGCTGCTTATAAAGATTGGATATTTTTTGGAAGGAAGGCAAGGAACTAAATTCATTACTTACTTTGCCGTGTCTCATAGCATAGGTATGAAATTGTAGGTTCCTAACCACCCGCATGGTGTGTAGGGTAAACATGTTAGCAAATAACAAAAAAATATGGTGGGATTAGAAAAAGTAGAAAAGAGTAGAAAAATATGTGCAGCAGTTAGAGCGCAGTTTGAGCTTCTAATACCTGCCTTGTCTCTGGTATTTAGCATGTCTGTCTTCAGGGTTTTGTAAAAGGAACAAGAATATTCCTCTCTACTCCTTCTCTTTACTCCCTAACAGGGACCAGTAGCTCCATTAGAGATGTTAGATGTTCTGTATTTTAGTAATCGTGTAGCTGTTACAATTATTAGTGGGTTATATGGTTACTAAAATACTTCCCGGGGGCGGGTCCAGCAGCCAGTGTGCTCCCGGCTCTTGGCCCCACTCACAGAGAGCACCCTACCACCCTGCACTGCTGCCTCTGATTCAAAGGTAGCAGTGCGGGGTGGCAGCAGCTCCCAGCAGGCAGGGACCTGAGTTCCCAGCAGACCGAGGCTGCACTGGCATCCCACTTACACCCAGCGCCAAGCTGCTGCCTCTGAAACAGTGGCAGCAGAGTGGTGGGAGGAGGTGGCAGCTCCATGGAGCTGGTGCTTGTGGGGAGCCGGCTTTTAAGCAACGGCTCTCATCTGCCCACCTCCTCCCCTCCCCCCCACTGCCTCTGTGGGAGGCAGCAAGGGGAGGTGGGTGGCTCCGTGGAGCTAGCATGCTAAGAGAGCCAACGTCCACCGCTTCTCCACCCCCGACCCCTGTGATGCATCCTCTGATAGAGAGGCAGCAGCATGGGTGGGGTTCAGGCAGCTCTGCAGGATCAGGTGCTCCTGGGGAACCAGCTTTTAAGCCAGCTCCACTTGCTTCCCATGCTGCTGCCTTTCTATCAGAGGCAGTGGCAGGGCGGGGAGGCAGCTTTTCAGGAACTGGCACACATGGGGAGCTGGCTTAAAAGCTGGATCCCCACAGGCACTGGATCCCACCTTCCCCACGTTGCTGCTTCTGATATAGAGGCAGCAAGTGGGGAGGAGATGGCGTGTAGTTGTTAGGCCTGGGTTTATCAGTTAATCCTATAAGTTAATAATTTAAATGGCTATACAATAGCATCCCTAAACTCGGTCATTCAAAAGTAATTCATTGAGAGGAGTTCTGTGGTCTGTATTGTACAGGAGGTCACATTAAATTACAGATGTTCTTCTGACTTTACAATCTGTAATTCTTAGAATAAGATTAGAAAGTCAAGTAAATCAGAAAGAGAGCATGAAAACCGTTAATATGTTAATCCTACAATTTGGCAAGGTCACCAACCTCCTGGTGGAGATAGTTCACTCAGTATTTAAGTCACTGATGATGACAACAGGAAACAAGATTTTTAAAAAAAGATGCCTAAAGTTAGTCTTTCTTGTTCATATTTAGGCAACTGTACTAGTAGCCTGACTTTTTTTTCCCACAAGTTCTGAGCAAGTGGTCTCTTCCACAAAAGTAAGTAGCATGCTCATACTTTTTAAAATGAAGACCATTTAAAGGTTTGACCACATTGGATGCAAAAATAGAGACAGATGAAAAAATACTCATGATAGCATAACTTGTAAACTTCCATATGTAAAGTATACTCCATTGGTGTGAATATACACATTCACTGCTTTTCAACAGCATATAAATGGTTCTTTGTCAATATTTTTCATGAGAATCAAGCTGGATGACGAAATATCTTTTCTTGGACCAACTTCTGTCATTGAGAGTGACAAGCATTTGTACTAACACAGCTGTAAGTTTGAAAGCTTGTCTCTCTCACCAATAAAAGATTACCACACCACTTTTTCTCTCTAATATCCTGTGGCTGGCTCAGCTACAACAACATACAATGTTTTTATATTCTATTTTAGAAATGAAGAGGACAAAAAAGATGCCTATTTTGGGAGTCCTCTTTGTAGCTGTCAGGCTCATCTGCTTTGGAACAGACCACGCTTTGGAGAGCTAAATGATCTGAACCGAACAAACCAGTACATCCAGGCTCTGATGACAGTAAGTGAGATTATTCTACAACTCATGGCAGCATTAAATCTTTCTGTTGCTCTTTCCACAAGGGTGTCCATATACATCTTTCCACTCTAATAGATTATTAGTGGGTGATTCATGTTCCTTAACAAAGGGAGTATGTGCTAGGTTTGTTCACAATGCATGTGGCATTTTGTCTGAGTCAAAAACACATCTGTAAATCAAACAGTCATGAAATATCTAGTATCCAATTATTTTCAACTGAAGATGTCCACTAGGGATGTTAGCGTGTGGTCATTAACATGATTAACCAGTAAGCCTGGGCATCCTCCTGTATCAGAGGCAGCAAGGGGTGGAGGGAGGAGGAAAGTGGTGCCCACGGGCAGCCAGCTTTTAAGCCAGATTCCCACACCTGCTGACTCCTGTGGATCCACCTGCCCCCTTCTCCTGCCAGCTCCTCCCATGGACCAGCTCCCCCCCCTCCATCACTGTCCACAAGACTTATAGATGTGAACCCAAACATTAGTTTTGTACATGTGTGATGAGTTCTCTCTGCAATCTATTTTGGGGATGATGATACAAACACTGCTGGTATTTCTCTATTAAAATCTTATTCTGAATTTCTTCTTGGAGAAAACTCTTGCATCTGATATTGTTTGGTTTGCAGCTCCCCAAATTTCTATCTAATTATCTTTAAATTTTGGCTAAGTTTCAATAACCAAGTGTAAAAATGGTTTATCTGAGAACTTTTAAATCTGGAGTAAAAATAATATTGTCAGCTTGTCTTATTTTCTGCAGGTACTGAAAAAAGACAGTATTTGCCTCTGCATCAGTGACGGCAGCCTGCTTCCGCTGCTGGCTCAGTATCTTGGAGCAGAGCAGGTACAATACTTCACTGCTTCCTGTTATTTTTCTGCTCTTTATGTTTTAGATAGATGTTTTTAGTCCTCTGGAACATTTCAGTGTTGCTTTTCAGTAATGTTCAATTCCAGTCTACTAGATAAGCAGTGGATGTGAGCTTCACTCTGTGACAGCCATGCTGTAGATTATACAGCAGGAGCAACTGCCATTTCTTGTTACTTATAATCCAAACTGTAGCCAAAGGCTCCAGATGTGTCCTGTGCTTCTTCCTTGATTCATTTCTGAGTTACCCATCTTCTGTTAATGTTCATTTCTCTGGATAATTTTCTCCTTCTGTTGCCTACTTTTGCTATGCTATTCTGAGGTGGTTAGGTTTATTCTCAAGTGGGAAATGGAGTGAGTGTAATGGTGAGATACACCCACTTCTCATAGTATTTGTTACCTACATGTTACACATCCACCCCGCACCCAGTTCCTCTCCCCAGGCTCTGTTGTGATGCCACTAGTTTCATTTTCTGGGTCATTCAAATTGAAACATTTCACTCAGAGACGGAATAGTGCAGAGTTCCAAGCATAGAGCCATATCACTATTTCACTCCACTTGACAATCCCTGAAATTTTGACATGTTAAGTTCTAGTACAGTGACAAACCTAAGCATAACCATGTGGTAGCCTATTCCAATGACTTCAGTAAACTAACTAGTTCATGCTTTTAAACCACCCAAATTGCCAGCAGTTTTCCTTGCAATTATTGAAATGAACTTTGTTAAATTGTTTGTAATGAACTTCAAGGATGATGCTATAAAAAGTAATTCCCTGATTGGTGAAGGGAATGTTCCCTGTTCAGTAGTACCTTGATGTCTCTAGTTAACACATACTGAACACCTGGGTTTGCCTAGGGTGCTCAGACATTCTCACAGCTGCATGCTGTTGCTAATTAATGCCTAAATGAACAATCATAAAAGATGCAGAGAGAAAGAAAGTACTCAATAGTATTTGCCATTTAGGTACAGATCCCTAACAAAACAAGTCCTTTATAGGTGGATGCAAGTATTTTGCTTTTATCTAGCAGAAGAATGATGGCTGCTCTACTGAGTGAGTAAAGTGCCTGGCAACCATTCTCCATGGCTTCTATTAGAATCATAGAATCATAGGACTGGAAGGGACCTCGAGAGGTCTTTGAGTCCAGCCCCCCGCCCTCAAGGCAGGACCAAGCTCTGTCTACACCATCCCTGACAGATGTCTATCTAACCTGTTCTTAAATATCTCCAGAGAGGGAGATTCCACCACCGCCCTTGGCAATTTATTCCAATATTTGACCCCCCTGACAGTTAGGAATTTTTTCCTAATGTCCAATCTAAACCTCCCTTGCTGCACTTTAAGACCATTACTCCTTGTCCTGTCCTCAGAAACCAAGAGGAACAAATTTTCTCCTTCCTCCCCCTCCCTTTTAGATATTTGAAAACCGCTATCATGTCCCCCCTTAATCTTCTTTTTTCCAAACTAAACAAGCCCAGTTCATGAAGCCTGGCTTCATAGGTCATGTTCTCTAAACCTTTAATCATTCTTGTCGCTCTTCTCTGTACCCTTTCCAATTTCTCCACATCTTTCTTGAAATGTGGCGCCCAGAACTGGACACAGTACTCCAGCTGAGGCCTAACTAGTGCAGAGTAGAGCGGCAGAATGACTTCACGAGTTTTGCTTACAACACACCTGCTGATACAACCTAGAATCATATTTGCTTTTTTTGCAGCAGCATCACACTGTTGACTCATATTCAACTTGTGGTCCACTATGACCCCTAGATCCCTTTCCGCCATGCTCCTTCCTAGACAGTCGCTTCCCATCTTGTATGTATGGAACTGATTGTTCCTTCCTATGTGGAGCACTTTGCATTTCTCTTTATTAAACTTCATCCTGTTTACCTCTGACCATTTCTCTAACTTGCTAAGGTCATTTTGAATTATGTCCCTATCCTCCGAAGAAGTTGCAACCCCACCCAGTTTGGTATCATCTGCAAACTTAATAAGCGTAATCTCTATCCCAATATCTACATCATTGATGAAGATATTGAACAGTACGTGTCCCAAAACAGACCCTTGCGGAACTCCACTTGTTATCCCTTTCCAGCAGGATTTAGCACCGTTAACAACAACTCTCTGACTACGGTTATCCAGCCAATTATGCACCCACCTTATCGTGGCCCTATCTAAGTTATATTTGCCTAGTTTATCAATAAGAATATCATGTGAGACCGTATCAAATGCCTTACTAAAGTCTAGGTATATGACATCCACCGCTTCTCCCTTATCCACAAGGCTCGTTATCCTATCAAAGAAAGCTATCAGATTAGTTTGGCATGACTTGTTCTTCACAAACCCAAATGATTTGGCATTATTCAGCTAACTTAATTTGTGACTCATCCTGGGCAGACAACAGGCTAGTATGCAGCTACTGCGCTTGTTTTCCATTTGTAAGAAGCTTACCTTGGTGCTCTGGAGGCTTATATCAAGAGTCTACTGAGGGGTAGAAGTGTACAGTTGAGAGTCTTCTCAAGTCATGATTAATAATGGAAGCAGAGGTACAACTATGGAGCATTCAAGTGGCAATTTCCTCCAAATTTCATAGGCAGAATGAAGTAAAGCTGTCCTTTAGACGTGGCAGGTGGATATATGCTTCATTTCCTTTGGAATTCTTAAACATATGAAAAGATCTCCCAAGTGTACATAATTTAGAGAATATTTATAGCTTAATAGCAAATTCTAAAAAACAAATAGTGAAAACAAACAAGATGTTAAAAATATAAATATTTTGACTAAGTCTAGATTGAGGGCCCATAAATGAAAAGGTGTGTGTGCTGTAATGTGTTGCAGTGATATTTCTAACTAGTATAGCAGGATCACATTAAGCCATACTCATGGAGTGAGATCTCGTGGGGGTGGAGCATTGTCATTATGTTCAGTTGTAAATGCCCTACCTGTGTTTCAGTTGCCCATTAAGTACGGGAGGGGAACCAGGAATTGACATAATGAGACATCTATTGGCCTACAGGAAGTGTGATGTGTCCTTTCCAAACCCAGCTGTAGCAGAATCTTGCTAGTCTGTGCGTCAATAAATTACAAACTCCAAAATCTGTTTAGTGTGGATATTTGTATTTACAGTTAACCAGAGTTTTGATATAGTGAGGCTCTGTTGCAATTTAATTTTAAGAAAATGAGATGGATTTTCCTGTATGGAAAGACTAGAACAAATATCAGTGTTATACAGTCAAAATTTGTTCATTTTATAGAGGAGTAAGCAAAGTTGAGCCTTTAGTTCAGCAGAGATCTTATTTTGTAGAGACAATGTGACAAAGAAAAGTGAAACAGGTATATTGCTGTCATGAGCTAAAAATGAGCATGTCTAGTTCATTTGGATATTTATGAAAATGTTACAAAGCCACAACAGTGAACATGCATGAAGTAATTTTTAGTGAATTTTGAATGATTAAGCCAATGTGATTGATTGTACAGTACTCTCTTTAGGTGTTTACAGTAGAGAACTCTGCAGTATCGCATTGTCTCATGGAAAAAGTAAGTAGTTTAATCCTCTTACTTAAATGAGCGGACACTCTATAGCTATCAAGATGCAGAGAATCCTCCAGCTGTGATCTGTGCCCCATGCTACAGAGGAAGGCGAAAAACCTCCAGGGTCTCTGCCAATCTACCCTGGAGGAAAATTCCTTCCCACCCCCAAATATGGCGATCAGCTAAACCCTGAGCATGTGGGCAAAACTCACCAGCCAGACACCCAGAAATTCTCTACAGTAACTCCTATCATCCCTCCATTGACCTATTTCCCACTGAAAATGAATGGTCAATTAGTTACCAAGATCATATTATCTCATCAACCCATCCCCTTATCACAGAATCATAGAACTGGAAGAGATCTCAGAAGGTCATCAAGTCCAGCCCCCTGCTCTAGGTAAGACCAATCCCATCTAAATCAACCCGGACAGGGCTTTGTCAAGCCGAGACTTATACACCTCTAGGGATGGAGACTCCACTACTTCCCTAGGTAACCCATTCCAGTGCTTCACCACAGTGAAATAGTTTTTCCTAATATCCAACCTGGACCTCTCCCACCACAACTTGAGACCATTGCTCCTTGTTCTGCCATCTGTCACTACTGAGAACAGCCTCTCTCCATCCTCTTTGGAACCTCCCTTCAGGTAGTTGAAGGCTGCTATCAAATCCCCCCTCACTCTTCTCTTCTGCAGACTGAACAGACCCAACTCCCTGTTAATTAATTGTATTGCCATTAATTCTAATACAGGTTGAACCTTCCAAATTCGGGACTCTCTGGTCTGGCAACATCCATGGTTCTGCAGGGAGCCAACCAGGAGTCCTGTGGGTGTTGGAGAGCCTTGGCTGGGCTGGTATCCGAGGAGTCCTGCCCAATGAGCTCAGGTGGCAGGCGGGGAGTCCCAGCCGTGACTGGGAATCCCCAGTGGGAGTGAGGCCAGCAGTAGCTGGAGGGGAACCCCCAGCAGGAGAGGGGCTGTGACGGCAGCTTGGGGCAATTTCTGGCCCTGGCTGGAGAGCTCCTGCTGAGAACTCTGGGTAGGAATCCTTGGCAAGAACAGGGCTGGCAGGAGCTAGAGAACCCAGGCCTGAGCCAGGAACCCCCAGCAAGAGCAGGGCTGGCTGGCCAACAGCAGCGAGGGAGCTCTAGCCCCACATGGAACCTGTGGTGAGAGCTAGGCTGGCAGCTTCCGGGAAATTTTTGCCCCAGTCTGGAACCCTGGAGAGTCCTGGTGGCTGGTGGTGGCTAGAGAGTCCCAGCCTCAAACCCTGGTGGCATGGGGCCGGCAGCAGGGCATAGAGGGATCCCCAAAGTTCAAAGAGGAGCCCACGGGCAGGGCCAGCAGCCAGCAAGAGAGCATCCAACCTGTAGCAGTGTAGTGTGTTCAGCATCTTACGGAATCAGTTGCATTATTGTATTAGGAGATGAGGTACCATGGTCCAGTGAATTGCGAGACGGGTTTCACTTCCAAGGTCTGACACTGGCTTGCTGTGCAACTGTGGCAAATTGCTTTTTCTGTTTCCTTTTCTGTAAAATGTTCCTGTTAGCTTCTACTTTTGAAAAGAGCTTTGATGTACACAAAACAGTCTATACTGAGCCATGTTTGGCTTAGATAACTCTGGTGGTGTGAATAACTCAAAAGTGTATATAGTTGACTTAATGACCTTTGGTATTTGGTGCATAGATTCTTTTAGTAATTACAAAGATAGCTTCCCCAATTATCACCTCTAATACCATTAACTCACAGACATCTCCCCTTCCCCACCTCTAATATCATTAACTCACAGGCATTTACCTTCCTTTCCCCCCTCCTGCATCCCCCCTCTGTTCTGAAATGTGATTTGTCCTTTTCATATGTGTTCATTTTTTTAAATTGTATCCTTTGGTATATATGGTTGTGACTATTTTCTTCCACTATTTGATCTGAGGAAGTGGGTCTGACCCACGAAAGCTCATCATCTAATAAACCATCTTGTTAGTCTTTAAAGTGCTACATTGTCCTGCATTTTGCTTCAACTACCGTAATAAGTATTCTAGTAAAGGAGCATCTCATATGGGGATGTATGAGGTTAACTGGTACACTGATGTTTATCACTTCCAGTCAACAGTTAAACTCCCATGGGGCTGGTGGTGGTGGGAGCCTGCGGGACTGTCAGCCCACAGAGCCGATTTAACTATGTAATTGGTGGAATTGTAATCGGTTCATGGTTAATATTTTTTACATCTCTATTATTATATGTATTGCAGTATGTTTGTGGTATGTATGGAAAGAGCTCTCAGTATTCACATAAATTCTTAAAGGTTGTGAGGCACTATAAGGAAAAGGAATTTGGGAATAATGTCAACTCTGTTCTGAGATTTATGCCTGTGACTCCAGTTAACACTGGGACCATTGGAATTGCCATATTCGGTCAGACCCTTAGTTCAGTATTCTGCCTCTGACGTTAGCCAGCACCAGATGCTTCTAAGTTAGGTGCAAGAAACCCTGTAGTAAGTAGCTGGAGGATAATCTGACCCCATGTGAAAGTCTCATCCTCATCATTAATAGAGATTGATGAAGTGTCCATATGGTCTTCAACCACAGCTAGCATCCCCTTGCTGACTGCAGTGTCTTGTTGTTAAAGTAGTATTGTTTTCTATGGTGAGCTCCAGGCATGGGATTCTCATTTGTCTTCTAATGTTAAAATTAAGAAACTTATGCTGGTGATGGCAAGTTGTAGTGTTTTAGTAAGAAAATAGAATTCTTCTCATTATTAAACAAAAGTGTGTATATGTATTGATGCATAGAAAAATTACAGTGGGGTAGACATATAGTGATTCTTCTTTATACAGCAGGGAGTCTTCAGCATAAACATACTGTCACACAAACAGAACACTTACTGAAAGCTTGTGCAGTGTTGTCTGCTGACTCAGGTATATGTCATGACAAAGGCCAGATAGCAGATGTGGTTCAATTTAGTGTGGAGTAGTTTTGACTTAACTTGTTTTGGGGTATGAGTGATTAAAACTTCTCTATAGCTATATCATTTTTAACTAAAATAAAATCATACATATTTCAAAAGTATTTTCCTCTGTGAATATCAGTTGAAGGTTGTGCATGGTCTGGTATTTGTATATTAAAAGCTCACATGGTGAGAAGAACCACCGATTAGCTTAGGTTTATTAATTTTCCTTCCAAATTATGGTTTCCATCTTCAGATCATTGTTTAAAATAGTAGCTTATTCAAAAGTCAAAATACGTATTACTCAAGGTTGTACAAATGGAAAAAGTAAAAACGACTTACTTTTTTTCTTTAAGATCTTTAAAGCCAACCAAGTAGGAGATAAAATTAAAATAATAGAGAAACGTCCTGAATTATTGACCCCTTCTGACTTGGAATATAAAAAGGTAAGTAACATTTGCCCTGTTTTAGCACTAAAAGCATTTATAGTAATAAACAGATGGAAAAGCACCTTTCCTTTCCATTGGGATAGAATAGCTGCAGTCAGCTGTGTTAAAGCCAATGCTGTTTTTATGTCCATAGTGTAACAGTGAGTCCATATTCTATTCTGTTGGAAAATAAATCCGGCCTGGTCTTCATGCAGGTGGTTTGCTTGCTTGCTTGTTTTTTGGTAATCTTTCCTCACTCACATCTCTTCAGAATGTGTTTGCATTGATCATTTTTCTAGCCTGTTGATTTCACTGTGCCATGCCTCTGTTTGCATCCCTCTACTGGCGCCTCTTTGTCTGTTTCATCAGCTTAATCTACTTGTCTTCATTTTTGAGACCCTTCATGGCCTATTCTCACTCTGCCTATCCTTTATTAGTCACTGTTAAGAAGTTAACTCCTGCCTCTGATTGATCTATGATGCCAGCCTCCGTCACCCATGTGTTGCATTTCTAAACAAGCATCTTTGTATTTTCTCACATGCTTCCTCTCATGCATGGAAGGAGCTTCCTGTAAACACCTGCTGCACAAGGCTACCTCATTCACTTTCAGAAATCTCCTTAAAATGTTTCTTTGCCATGATAACCAGTGTCAAGATTTTTGTGATTAAGTGACTTTTGTTCTGAGACCACTATCTCTCGTGTTGAGTAATGTCTTATTTCCTTGTAGTTCTCCATTTGTCAATATCCACTATCATCCGTTGTTTTATACTTGGGTTCTAAGTGCTTTGTGCCAGAGACCATCTCTTTGTGCTGTATTTGTACAGGATCTAGCACAATGGGAATCTGATGGGCCTCTTAAGTGTAACAGTAATACTGTTGGTTAGTTTGCTGATTTATTTTTAACCACAAGAGTTATACAATCAACCCCTAGCATGGCCATAGTTCTACTGGTATAAAGGTACCGTATAATTGCATGGGAATAAACAATACTAGTATTAGCACATCTGTACCAGTATAATTGCATTCAATTAGGAGGTTAGTTAAAGCCAAAGTGGAACAACTTTAATATGTGGATGATCTCTACATGGAACATTTTTTGTTAAATATCTTGAACTCTGTCTAGAAATTTTGGTTGCTTACATCCGTAAATTCAAATACTGCAGATTATCAGAACTCTTCACATCTAAACCATAATTAAATTTGCCTCACACTTAGTATTATAGGAAAATACCTTTGTTTGCCAGTGGATTCTAGAAAACAGATACTTATCTATGCTGCAGTACAGAAAATATGCATCAGAAAAAGAAAGCTCATTGCAGTATGAAAGTTAGTATTCTGTAAATTGCTTACTTATTTGAGTCTTTATTCTTTTTTTCTTTAATGACTTTCCTTTTCCTTTTTGTCAAGGTCTCAGTCCTCATTGGAGAACCATTTTTCACTACAAGCCTTTTACCATGGCACAACCTCTACTTTCTGTATGCTAGGACAGCTGTGGCAACTCACCTCACAAACAATGTCACCATCCTGCCACAATCTGCTTCCCTTTACATGATGATCGTGGAATTCAAGGTGAGATGGTTGTTTATATATTTACATAGTTCAATTTTGACTAAGTTGGCTCTCATCAACAGTATTTTATAATTCAGGTTTATCATATCTGAGCACCTCATATTTTCAGCATACCAGTCTTGCTCTGGACAGTAGAGCAAAATTAGATTAATTTGACATCTCAAATTGAAGGTAGTGTGTTGTCATTTAAGTCAATCCTTATCTTGAATTGAATTTTTTTTATTAGAAGAATGAATTAAGTTTTTAGCAGTCTGCATGGCATATATATACTTTACACATCCATTAGGAGCTGTATTTCAGAATTAAAAGCACTTCAAGAGGAAAGATTGCCTTTTTTAATACAATTCAGCATCTGAAATGCTGCTTTTTTTTCATTGCTTCTGCATAGCAGAAACCAAGATAGTTAGTTGCTTTGAAACTGGAGGATTTTTTTTTTTTTACAGTTAAACAGTTGTAATATTTTTTAAATTGATCTGTAGTGTGAAGAGAAACTATTGGAAATATATCAAATTTGTTTTGCCAGTAAGTACTGTGTTCTGAAAAATTGTAAGTTAATCTATAAATGACACTTTTCAATTATAAGACTGGATAAGCTTCAGCTTGTCAACAAAAATTATAGTAATTTTTAATATTAAGTGTGCAACATTCTAGTGAGGAGTGAATCTTAACTTTTTTATATCATGGATCTTTTCTTAAAATTATCTTATGTAGTAGCTCCTCTCCCATTTCTATTTTAGGAATCATACATGTCTCTTGTAACCAAAGTAGATTTAAAAAATCAGAGAGAAATGACTCCTATACAAATAAAAGGAGATGCATGATCATGTTGTTAATAGATTTACTTTTCAATAGACCAGAGGGAAAGATGGTCCAGGTTTTTGCACTTATCTAGGACTTGGGAGACCTGGGATTAGTTCCTGTTTTACGATATGTGTGTATTTACCTCTCTGTACATTTCTAGACAAATGTGCCTGTCACTTTTAATGAGGGTAGAAAAGCTATGAAGGCAAGACATCTGTAGTTCATTAAAAATGCAGGTCTTATGTATGTATAAATAATTTAGATTGATCTTTAATCTCTCCATAGCTATTAATTAGTTCTGCCTTTGTCTTCACTAAATAAACAGTTTCTTATCCTGAGAAAAGACAAGCTGTTGAGAGCTATTTCATGTGTGTTGTATCAAATATGGTGTTATAAAATATAACATTGCATACCATTAATGTGTTGCACTCACACAGAATATAACAGTAGATAAGCGTGTCTTCTTCCATTAAGAATAAGGGTGCATAGTAGAATATTCCAGACTCAGAGTTATATCTTCCCTTCATGACACACAAGTGCACACAACCTCCCTTTGCTGGCAGTGGCAGTTAAAAACACACCTAGACCAGGATAGCCTCCTTAAATTTCTTGTACAGCTGTTTAGCTCTACTGCCTGAGAAAAAATCTATGAAGTGCAGTTCTATGTAATCTGACTAGTATTGCTAAAATGTCTGGTTTTGAGCAAAATATGTTAAGCAGCAAATTTGTTTTGGTAATCGACTAACCCTGTAAATATTCCTTCGATATTTTTTCATGTACAATGAAACCCATGAAGTCAAAATGATTCTTCTTCAAGTGATGTCCCCATGGGTGCTCCACTGTAGATGTTGAGTTGTCCCAGTGCCAAAGCTTGGAATTTTCTTGAGCAGTGATCTGCCAGATCGTATCTTGAGCTGTTCGCGTCCTTTTGATGTCTCCCGCAGTCCAGCTCCCGCCAGTTCCTTCTTCGCCGCCTGTGGTCACAAATGGAGTGAGCCTTCTCTCCTTGGGCAAACCCTGTCAGGAATAGAGTACATAGTTCTTAGAGTTTATAGTTAATTACAGTTCTTATAGCTGTAATTAATATAGTTCGTAACAAAAAAAAGTTTATTTTCTTCACTTAGTTTTACAGCTAGCTACACCAGGCTCTCCCAGTTTTAAGAAGTGTGCCACATGCCGTGACGCCATGCCTGCATCAGACAGTCATGCCGAGTGAATCAAGTGCCTCAGCGAATGTGTCCATTGTGCCAAACAGACGGTCAGGGCATGTAAGGACAGGGAGATGAGAATAAAAATGTTCCTGTTCAACAAGGCGCTTCAGCCGCCGGAACATTCTCCCTTTGTTTCCACTCTGCAGTCTCTGAGGGCGGAGAAAAGGAAAGCCATTTCCCCGCAGTTGGCTCTAAGCTGAAAAAGAGCTTCTCCAGCTCGCTCTTTACCATCAGCATGTGTAAGTGTCGGTGATAAGCCCAGCATGTCTTTCTCGGTGGCCCCCAGGCATAAGTTGCTCTCGGACCCAAAATTGCAACGAAAGTCTAAAACAGGGCTGTCAACAGTCATAATGGTCCGTCAGTTGGCACTGCCAGCAACAGCTACTGCGGTACCGACAACATCAGAATCTTCTGCTTTGGAACAGCACGTGCCGATGACATTGGCACTGATGACATCAGCACCACCTACATATGTGCTGGTGATCTCGGCACCACACACCTCTGCACTGATCATTTATATATTAGCCTCCTCGGCACCGAGGACCTTGACACAAACATCATAGGCATCTTCAGCACCATGTGTCTTGTTTAACCCTCCTGCGCCGAAGAAAGCACCCTATAAATACTCTTCAAGGAGACCAACAAGCCTGGAACCATTTACCTTTTCACCAGCACCATCTTCCACACCACCGTCTCCATATTCTCCTCAACCACTCTCCCCATGAACAAATTAGACACCATGCATTGAGATACCATTTATCACCATCCCCTTAGACAGGGTATCTACATCATTCTCCTCCTCCTCCTTCAAAGGAATCACCACACTCACCATGTTCTCCACACCTACCAGTACTCCACCAGATGCATTACAGGATCAGCCATCCATCTTGCTACATTTTTCTGGTGCGGTCTTACTCCAGACAACACAGCCCAACGCACTACCAGTATTACTCTCGGCATGGCTCAGTTTGCTATGCTTATCAACACTCTGGCTACGGCTATTCGTGCTGTCACAGTCACCCAGCTTCCCATGCACTCTCAGTTTCTCCACAACCCTCTTATAGTCACTGAGTAACAATGTCACCACCCAATGCTTCCTCTGTGGCTCCTCATTCCAAACCAGAAGAGGGTCAACTTTCAGAGGTTGAGGTGGAAGAACACCCACCAGACGTATCACCAACTGACCAGTTGTCATCATCCCCTGATGAGATGGTCATACCTGGTGACCAGTCCCTTCCTGATGAACTTAGGCAGTTTCAGAAGCTTTTTAAGAGGGTGGCTGTATCTCAGGACAGCACCCTAATGGAAGTACCAGAGAAGCAACACAAGTTGCTCAAAAATCTTCAACCATCACAGTGGGGGAAAATTGCAATTCCTATAGACAAGGCCATTATGGAAGCCGCTGAGGAAATATAGCAGACTCCAGCTTCAGCACCACCAACTAATGAAAGGTCTGACAAAAGATATTTTGTCCCTCCAAAGGGAACTGACTTCTTATTCTCCCACCCTCAACCAAATTCATTGGTTGTTGACCCTGCCCAGCATAGGTCCAAACTCCCTCAATACAAGAACATGGCGGACAAAGATAATAAGTGCATGGATCTGTTTGGAAGGAAACTATTCTTCCTCCACCTTATTCCTGAGTATAAGCAACTATGCAGCATTGCTCTCCAATCATAACTTTGATAACTACACCAAGCTAACATCCCTCCTAGAGCACTTACTAGACTCCAAGATCCATATTAAAGTCCATAGTTCAGGAGGGCTATGCTTCCTCCAGGATGGCCCTCTGAAAAGCACAGAGCTACTGCAACATCAGTAGTTATGAAAAGAGCCTCCTGACTGCAATCTGCAGGGGTTCCTCATGAGTTACAATCAAAGATTCAAGATCTTCCTTTCGACAAGCAAAAATTATTTGCTGAAAACACAGACATTTAAGGCCATTCCATCATCGCTGGGCTGCCATCACAATGGACCGTTGGGTCCTCAAAATAATAACATCAGGGTGTACTATCCTCTTTACTACACTTGCTCCCACCTCCCTGTCCCTCTTCAGGGACCCCTCTCATGAAGACCTAGTAAAGCAGGAGGTACAGCGACTGCTCGGTCTAAGAACAGAGGAAATAGTACTCAACGGCTTCAGAGGGAGGGAGTTTTACTCCCATTACTTTCTTACAACAACAAGAAAAAGGGAGGATAGAGGCCTATTTTAGACCTCTGCAGATTGAATTGATATCTATGAAAGCAACAATTCAAAATGGTTACCCTAGCATCAATAATCCCATGATTAGAGAATGGAGATTGGTTTGCAGGCCTCAACCTGTAGGATGCCTATTTTCACATAACTATTTACCCTTCACACAGATGGTTCCTACGTTTCGTGGTGGGTGCACAGATCATTATCAATACCAGGTACTACCATTTGGCCTTTCCTCGGCACCCAGAGTATTTTCAAAAATGTTGGCTGTTGTCATGGCTTACCTTCACTAACAAGCCGTGATCATTTTTCCGTACTTTGATGATTGCTTAGTGAAAAGCCCATCGGAAGTAGACACACATCACATGGTGACCACAAACAAACAAGCAAACATTCACTCTCTTGGGCCTTCTATTCAACACACAGAAGTCAACGCTGCAACTTACACAAGCTCTAGAATTCATAGGTGTCCACCTAGATACAGTGTCTGCAAAGGCATACCTCCCCAGGCAGCGATTCCAAGCAATCCAAGAGCTGGCTACTACTGTTACCATCAGTTCTGCAGTCTCCATACTCACCTGTCTCCAACTTATAGCTCACATGGCTCCTACAATCTATGTGATTGACTATACCCTTTGATATCTTCAGCATTGGCTTGCAACGGTCTATACCCATTGTATGAGACAACTGCACACGCTGGTGTCCCCTCCACCTTGTGTTTTAAAATCTCTCACATGGTGGACCAATCCCAGCAATCTATTAGCAGGTGTACCATTTCATCTAGTCCAATT